AAAATAATGTTTAGAAAAAAGTGGAGAAATGACTTTTTAAAAGTAACCACAAAGAAAGCAGAAAATGCAGAAAAGCAAACTACTAAGTAGAGAGCCAAGCTTAAAGAAAACTCAGCCCATAAGCTGAACATATAGTGATTTTCAATGAAATTACAATACAACCGATATATTGGTAACTGAGAAGAGTAAGGCGGCTAACAGAATATTAGGCTTATTAAACAAGGACCTTCACATTGATTGACCTGTCATCGTTCAACTGTGATTAGACAGTTGTGTGAGACTAAACACTTCCTCGCTTTAAAGTACATAATATCCAAAAATGTCAATGCCAAATATGGTAATGAAGAAGAATGGAAAATAGGTTTACTAGATTAAAGACATGTAAATGGCGTGTTCAACCTGTTGATTGTGCCTTAATGGCTCCCAATGTACATACAAGTTGAAATTCGATACCCGTAGATGTAGTGTTTTCATTGACAAATACAATCGGCAATTAAAACGAATGAAGAATAAAAATGATTTAATGTGACGCTACGACGCCACAACGACGTGCTCAGCATCTATATTTCATCATCCCAAGTGTGGTTCAAGATTTTAGCCTGTATTATTGGCGTGTGAAAACTATATTGAAAGTGTTTGGCATGTTTGTACTGATAACCCATCTGTGGTACTGAAAGACGAATTGTGATGAGCAGGAATTTTTACAGTCCTTATCCTTTAGTATTACAATAATAAGAAACATGCTACGATTTACCATTACATATTGTATAAAATAAACAATTCGTTGGCTCTTAGGCATAATTTCGAAAGTAAACTTTCCTGATGTCATGTAAAAAAGGTCATACACATATGCAGAAAAAAGCGAGGGGCTACACAAAGAAATTGAAGGAAGCAATTTTTTTTCTACTAAAAATGGTGCAGTAAATAAATATAAATCATTTTGTATGACAAAGCCAATCAAAACAGCTGAGCAAATACATGTATTTAAGATGACCTGGTGATTTTAGTCAGATAGACTGGCTGGTCTTGAGGATAGGGGATTTTATATAAAAGAAAGTGTACAATGGAGCTACTCTCCATTCCTTCTGTCTAACGCAGCTGTGATGAAGGGTGTAGGTCGATGAAACGTGACACTGTCTGTGATCCTGTCTATAAAGCCGACAATCGCTTGCAAATAGATTAGGGATATAAATAAACGTGCAACAATGATTATGAAATCTGATATTGGCAATTTTTTGCCCACGCTTTTTGTTCCCCTACAATACAGAGAAATCAACCTTGCCAATCCCTAAAGTCGCCAAATTTGAACTCATAGGATGAAAGTGCACAAACCGAACCAAAGCAGTTTCCATGCACTCGGGCTTGGGTGATAGGAAGAATCTTACTGCTCCCAATCATTTGCTGTCAGATATTTAGATTATGATATTTAAGTAAGACGTATTGAAATAAATATTTACGATAAAAGCATAAGCTGGCGAGCAATTTAAGAGTACATATTTCTCTCCATGAGTATCGTTGCAAAAATCCACATAGCGCAAAACTTTAAGAAAATTACAGCAAAATGTTCCATTGAAGGAGCTATCTTCAAACTCTTCTACATCAGCTGCTTATCTCGATCTTTTCCTTCAACGAAACCAACATAAATAGCTTTCCATAAAGCTTTTTGATAAACGTGATGAGTTCAATTTCTCCAATTTGAATTAACCATTTCTGGATAGCAATAACCCTGCATCTCCAGAATATGGTGTTCCCATTATAACGATTTTCGTGCAAGAAATCGTCAATTGACAGACAAACTCTTAATACAAGGGTTAAAAAGATACAAATTGATGACAATTATGGGGAAGTTTTATGGTGACCATAGTGATCTCATTGAGAAATATTTTATTTCTTTGTGCGACATGAAGCTGGACGTATTTGCCTGTTGATTGTATACTTTGCTCTCATTTGGGAACGTGACATTACTGACTTGGATTGACCAAGGTTTACATGGCGAGTGTCATCGATGAAGTAAAATACGCTTACTCTTCCGAAACACATGGTCTTATTCTCTTTGTACTTTTTCAAGAGTCTCCGTGTAGATCTTTATTTGCTCATAATTTGGCCTGGATTGATCGATTATGTTTTCATGGATATGCTCTTGATTTTTGTTTTACTACGTGGAAAGCACCTTACTTATCGACCCAAATAACTCTGTAAACAGATGTGATTCACAACAAAAATATAAGTTTATTGTTTCGCAACAAAAAAAAAGAATAAATACGCTGATAACATATCATTTCAAAACATGGAATAAATATATAAAATATGTATATGTTGAATACGAATACTTGTCATTAGGAACATCACAAAGACAAATGTATATAAGAGTATACAATGAACTAGATATAGCAACCATTTTAAAGGCCAATCAATTATCACGTTACACCCACGAAGTACCGTTGCTATGCTCTCCAACATACTGGAAACGCACACTTAGTAGATAACCACGCCCTCAAACAAATGTATAATACATGTTGAACAAACTTCGGATCCCTAGATAACCACGCCCTCAAACAAATGTATAATACATGTTGAACAAACTTCGAATCCCTAGACAACCACGCCCTCAAACAAATGTATAATACATGTTGAACAAACTTCGAATCCCTAGACAACCACGCCCTCAAACAAATGTATAATACATGTTGAACAAACTTCGAATCCCTAGACAACCACGCCCTCAAACAAATGTATAATACATGTTGAACAAACTTCGAATCCCTAGATAACCACGCCCTCAAACAAATGTATAATACATGTTGAACAAACTTCGAATCCCTAGATAACCACGCCCTCAAACAAATGTATAATACATGTTGAACAAACTTCGAATCCCTAGACAACCACGCCCTCAAACAAATGTATAATACATGTTGAACAAACTTCGAATCCCCAGATAACCACGCCCTCAAACAAATGTATAATACATGTTGAACAAACATCGAATCCCTAGACAACCACGCCCTCAAACAAATGTATAATACATGTTGAACAAACTTCGAATCCCCAGATAACCACGCCCTCAAACAAATGTATAATACATGTTGAACAAACTTCGAATCCCTAGATAACCACGCCCTCAAACAAATGTATAATACATGTTGAACAAACTTCGAATCCCTAGACAACCACGCCCTCAAACAAATGTATAATACATGTTGAACAAACTTCGAATCCCTAGACAACCACGCCCTCAAACAAATGTATAATACATGTTGAACAAACTTCGAATCCCTAGATAACCACGCCCTCAAACAAATGTATAATACATGTTGAACAAACTTCGAATCCCTAGACAACCACGCCCTCAAACAAATGTATAATACATGTTGAACAAACTTCGAATCCCTAGACAACCACGCCCTCAAACAAATGTATAATACATGTTGAACAAACTTCGAATCCCTAGATAACCACGCCCTCAAACAAATGTATAATACATGTTGAACAAACTTCGAATCCCTAGACAACCACGCCCTCAAACAAATGTATAATACATGTTGAACAAACTTCGAATCCCTAGACAACCACGCCCTCAAACAAATGTATAATACATGTTGAACAAACTTCGAATCCCTAGACAACCACGCCCTCAAACAAATGTATAATACATGTTGAACAACCTTCGAATCCCGTCAACCTGAATAAGAACGATCTACTGAATAATGTTTGTCGAATGTTTTTCCACCATCCGCCATTTTTTTACGCCAACAAACAAACTGACCTCGCCCATCAGACATTTAAGTAAAGTCAATTTGAACTGATAGAAAACGCCCAACTAATTGTCTTGAATTCGTACTTCCATCTCTGAGCAATGCTTACAAGCACACGAGAATTATCTAAAAACCAAATTCGTTCAAAAAGACATACATGCAAAATACTAAGGTAAATATTTACCACCGTAGGTTGGTAATCTGTAAGAAGACTAGATAAGACATAAGTAAAAAGTGTACAGGTAAACAAACGGACAATATCGACAGCCACTCGTGAATTTCTGACTTGTTGTTATTCATTGATGTCAATACTGAGCAAAGAATGACAAAATACAAAGGAAAAATATCACCACACTACTATAGTTTATGCGCCAGAAAGTTTTATATTTAGGACATTTAACTTAGTATTCCCGATGGTAAAATACTGATTATATGAACCTACAGGTTCCCATGTATATTTCATATTTCATATCTGTGAATAGAGTTTTGGCATCTTTTATTATATATATTCTTTTTCCCTGGGAAATAATACCAATAATATATATATATAGTTCTCAAATTTCTCGTAGAACTTTTTGTGTGATAGAATGTTTTCGTTTGGATTTTTTGACGTAACTATATTTTCTAAATGTTTTTGTGATGTTGCTTCAATCAATAATAATGATCGTTGCTGAGAAGCAGTCATTCCAAATTGCAATATTATCTATATCCTGCTAAATTACATACATTATTGAGCTTAACATTAAGTAAAGTATGGGTTCCATTAGATATATTGAATCAATTCTAATGTAAGTCTGGCGAGGCTTCATTTCGTAAACAGAATCAGGGTTTCATTTTTTTTAATCTGAGAAGCAATAAAAATCACCAAATACAAGATACAAGTAAATCTAACACAAAAGGTAACGCGCCTATCCAGGACATACATCCCTAAAAAGTCTACAATCGAACCTATAGACACACTTTCGTATTTTTTAACCATTCATATCTAGTCTTTCTGAGTGTAAATTTGTCGTACAAACTTAGAGTCGGGCATCAGCGTCTAATATTTTCCTTCTTCCCCGTTAAATTCGATAAAATCTATGAAGGTCACACAGTTACACAGCTTTGTTTGAGATATTTTTGACGCCAGACTAGCACAGTTACTTAAAATATCACATCATTATTTGATGTCTTTAACTATTGTTTATTTATTTAGGTAATTGCTATTTCCCGGAAAGTAACGAGCAACCGAGATGGCACTGTCAATCAATATTTATCTGGAATGGCCCGTGACGGTAGTCGTTGCAATCCGTAATTCAAAGTGTCTCCAGTAAATCTGGCATAAATCCTCTTTTCCTTTTCCATTTCCGCTTTTTCAATTTCGTCTGTATAATCAAACTTTTTTCCTGCGTCTGGGTTAGGGTACTCTTTCAGTGATCTCTCCTGAAAGAACAATCCATTTGTATCATGCGACATCAATGTATCTTTGGCATGTCCTAATTATTTCTTGTTAGTGACATAGAAAGCTATACTTGTCAAGGTCAGTTTCTTTCAATGACATGTAGGAAATTAATCACTCTTGTCAAACGCATTGATGCCGATGTATCTAGTAAATTGAGAAAGCTCGTCTTCCTTCTAATTTATTCCCCTTGAATAACTTTTTCTTTATTCTTATTGTAAACTATATGCCAATGATTTTTCTAGTTCGGATAATACTGTACTGAGCGTCAATTTTATCAACTGATTACGGCCAGACCGAATAATTCCTATTTAAGGAAGATAGAACGTCTGAACCGGCATGTTTTGTTCAGATAGAGCCTATGAACCAGCATGTTTTTTTCGCATAGAGCGTCTGAATCAGCATGTTTTGTTCGCATAGAGCGTCTAAACCGGCATGTTTTTTTCGGATAAAGCGTCTGAACCGGCATGTTTTGTTCAGATAGAGCCTATGAACCAGCATGTTTTTTTCGCATAGAGCGTCTGAATCAGCATGTTTTGTTCGCATAGAGCGTCTAAACCAGCATGTTTTGTTCGGATAAAGCGTCTGAACCGGCATGTTTTGTTCAGATAGAGCCTATGAACCAGCATGTTTTTTTCGCATAGAGCGTCTGAATCAGCATGTTTTGTTCGCATAGAGCGTCTAAACCGGCATGTTTTTTTCGGATAGAGCGTCTGAATCAGCATGTTTTGTTCGGATAAAGCGTCTGAACCAGCATGTTTTGTTCGGATAGAGCCTATGAACCAGCATGTTTTGTTCGCATAGAGCGTCTGAACAAGCATGTTTTGTTCGGATAGAGCGTCTGAACCAGCATGTTTTGTTCGGATAGAGCGTCTGAATCAGCATGTTTTGTTCGGATAGAGCGTCTGAACCAGCATGTTTTGTTCGCATAGAGCGTCTGAACAAGCATGTTTTGTTCGGATAGAGCGTCTGAACCAGCATGTTTTGTTCGGATAGAGCGTCTGAATCAGCATGTTTTGTTCGGATAGAGCGTCTGAACCAGCATGTTTTGTTCGGATAAAGCGTCTGAACCAGCATGTTTTGTTCGGATAGAGCGTCTGAACCAGCATGTTTTGTTCGCATAGAGCGTCTGAACAAGCATGTTTTGTTCGGATAAAGCGTCTGAACAAGCATGTTTTGTTCAGTTAGAGCGTCTGAACCAGCATGTTTGTTCGCATAGAGCGTCTGAACCAGCATATTTTTTCGCATAGAGCGTCTGAACCAGCATGTTTTGTTCGGATAAAGCGTCTGAATCAGCATGTTTTGTTCGGATAAAGCGTCTGAACCAGCATGTTTTGTTCGGATAGAGCGTCTGAACAAGCATGTTTTTTTCGGATAGAGCGTCTGAACAAGCATGTTTTGTTCGGATAGAGCGTCTGAACCAGTATGTTTTATTCGGATAGAGCGTCTGAATCAGCATGTTTTGTTCGCATAGAGCGTCTAAACCAGCATGTTTTGTTCGGATAAAGCGTCTGAACCGGCATGTTTTGTTCAGATAGAGCCTATGAACCAGCATTTTTTTTTCGCATAGAGCGTCTGAATCAGCATGTTTTGTTCGCATAGAGCGTCTAAACCGGCATGTTTTTTTCGGATAGAGCGTCTGAATCAGCATGTTTTGTTCGGATAAAGCGTCTGAACCAGCATGTTTTGTTCGGATAGAGCCTCTGAACCAGCATGTTTTGTTCGCATAGAGCGTCTGAACAAGCATGTTTTGTTCGGATAGAGCGTCTGAACCAGCATGTTTTGTTCGGATAGAGCGTCTGAATCAGCATGTTTTGTTCGGATAGAGCGTCTGAACCAGCATGTTTTGTTCGCATAGAGCGTCTGAACAAGCATGTTTTGTTCGGATAGAGCGTCTGAACCAGCATGTTTTGTTCGGATAGAGCGTCTGAATCAGCATGTTTTGTTCGGATAGAGCGTCTGAACCAGCATGTTTTGTTCGGATAAAGCGTCTGAACCAGCATGTTTTGTTCGGATAGAGCGTCTGAACCAGCATGTTTTGTTCGCATAGAGCGTCTGAACAAGCATGTTTTGTTCGGATAAAGCGTCTGAAAAAGCATGTTTTGTTCAGTTAGAGCGTCTGAACCAGCATGTTTGTTCGCATAGAGCGTCTGAACCAGCATATTTTTTCGCATAGAGCGTCTGAACCAGCATGTTTTGTTCGGATAAAGCGTCTGAATCAGCATGTTTTGTTCGGATAAAGCGTCTGAACCAGCATGTTTTGTTCGGATAGAGCGTCTGAACAAGCATGTTTTTTTCGGATAGAGCGTCTGAACAAGCATGTTTTGTTCGGATAGAGCGTCTGAACCAGTATGTTTTATTCGGATAGAGCGTCTGAATCAGCATGTTTTTTCGGATAGAGCGTCTGAACCAGCATGTTTTGTTCGGATAGAGCGTCTGAACCAGTATGTTTTGTTCGGATAAAGCGTCTGAACCAGCATGTTTTGTTCGGATAGAGCCTATGAACCAGCATGCTTTTTTCGGATAGAGCGTCTGAATCAGCATGTTTTTTTTCGGATAGAGCGTCTGAACCAGCATGTTTTGTTCGGATAAAGCCTATAAACCAGCATGTTTTGTTCGGATAGAGCGTCTGAATCAGCATGTTTTGTTCGGATAAATCGTCTGAACCAGCATGTTTTGTTCGGATAAAGCGTCTGAACCAGCATGTTTTGTTCGGATAAAGCGTCTGAACCAGCATGTTTTGTTCGGATAGAGCCTATGAACCAGCATTTTTTTTTCGGATAGAGCGTCTGAATCAGCATGTTTTGTTCGGATAGAGCGTCTGAATCAGCATGTTTTGTTCGCATAGAGCGTCTGAACAAGCATGTTTTGTTCGATCGTCCCTTTTATTCCTTAAACTCCACTGGAAAGCATTTTTTATCGATCAGCATTGACTGCATTGATAATATAAAAAAAACAAGCTTTGTAGTTATATTTATGTATAGATTATAGTATCATGGGACTGAGTCGACAGGGTAATTTCACCTTAGTTAGAATAGGACTTGGATACATTGTTCATAATTTCTAAAATTATTGACAAAATTCTGACATGTTGATGAAATGAAGCCTTGGACGATTGGAATAAAACGCTCATTAATACAAACAGTCGCCTGGGACGGATCAATATCACTTTCAATTGATAGATAAGATGAACAAAGACACAGAATGACTGCTTACGACCATTCAGCTGGAGATATGGGTACACTTATACCCTACTGTCTCTTTAGAAAGTGTGTACAGTTAAGGTGTCTTCCAGACTGATTCTTGTTGTAATTAGTAACAGACGTTAGAGGCATTGGTTGTGAATGACACCATACCACAAACATTTTTGTATCATTCAGATGCCTATCATGCTTTGATGGATATATATTGTTGTTTATAATGGCATGGTGAAGGTTTTTATGTCTTTTTGTCTGTAAGATCATGAAAATAAAATATTCTGACATGAAAAAATCTGTCTTTTTCACTTACAGGAACAAAAACCTATCAAAAATGCAATTGCTTTTAGTTACCCAAGTTGCGAAAATACTCCAGGGTTTTAGTTATATGTTCTAGTACAGTGTAGAATTATTAAATTGTGGTAATAAAAAAAATTAAAGATAATAGTAAAAATAATTATCAAACCCAGAAAATGAATAAAATAATAAGCAAAGAATTTTTCACTCTCGAAAACTGTAGAAAGTTAAAACAAGCAAGATTGCGGAATAAAACGTATTATTTTTGGTGTGACTTTTGAGTCGCAATCCCGAAAGGTAGTAACTTTTTTTCTGATTACTAGACTGCACTAGTAGTATATTAGTAAACGACAACATGAAATAAATGTACTGCTTGTCTTAAAGAAAGAAGCGAACTCAAATTGCAACACCTATTAATGTGATCAGATATACTATTACAGACAAGTGGTAATCACAAATAATCACAACAGTTTTTTTTTACAAAATAAATCAATTTAAAACAAAGTCGCGATCTGATACAAAATCTTCATGCTTCAATTACTCAAAACCGCATTTTTTTCGAAATGAAATTATTTGATGCTGAAATGATGAACAATCCGAGGGACACATTTTTAGAATGACAAGAGTCATACACTTAGTAGCTACAGATATGAGTGTCTCGGTTTTACCAAATGCACAATATGTCAATTTATGATGTAGACTTTAGTACATATATATCACTTACAACCAGAGCTCTTACAACTTGTGAACGTGGTAAATTGTGTTTAAAATTAAATGTTTTTGATAAAATGAACAGATAGGAATGTTTCACTGTAGCATTGATAATTGATCATTAGTGATACATTTTCGCTATTGTGAAATCACGCACACACACCACCATCACCACACACACATATACACACCACCACCACCACCACCACCACCATCACCACGACACACACACACACACACACACACATACCCTCTCTCACACACACACACACACACACACACACACACACACACACACACACACACACACACACACACACACACACACACACACACGAACACACACACACACACACACATACACACACACACACCACAACCACACAAACACACACATGAAATCGTTACTAGGTGAACCAAAAATTTAAGATGATTTTTAAAATTCTGTGAATGATAGATGCTATTGATTGTACAAAAGATACACTAGTAAGCAGTTTTTAATATATTGTAAGTATGCAGTACAGTATATATGAAAAATTTATAAAATCTGCACGACACTTTATACGTCAAAATCCATTGTATCCAAAAGGTGAGTTCTGTGTCATGAGATGGTCCACCTCGACCTTACCCTCCCGATGCAGTATTTGAAATCATGTATTTATTTACATTCGAAACTCGTTATCTCAAAATTCGATGGACCGTGGAAAATATTTCGACTCAACCGATTTCGAGACAACGAGTTTCAACTGTTTTTCAATGATGTATTGTTTAAATCAGCATATATTCCGTTGTATTGCTAACTGATATGTAAATGAGAATATATCGCATGGTCTTTAAGTCAATTAATTTTCCAAAACTTACCAAATTTGTAGCAATATTAGCCACTTGGTTTTGCACGTCCATCTTCCAATTCTGTAAGAAGTAGATAAAAATAAATGTCAAAACCTAGACAAATGTTAAACAAATGCATATGTTAGGGAATACATGGTATATTTGTATATATACTATTTTATTCTATATTTAGTCTATTCCGATTTCAAAGTTTGTTATCGAAAAAGCATCAAAATAAGTATTTTCCACAACGAACTGGACATAATTTCATTACTATATGCATAACACTTTAAAAATACATTTTTATTGACATTTATCTTCCATTTATGAAGATATAGAAAATGAAATTTGATTTTAACATGGTAATAAGCGGGCATTGATTCGGACTTAGTATTAACTGACCACAAATTATTTATCAGTGTTGTGTTATCGATACATGCTTAAGCTGACAAGTTTTAAAGTATATACTACATAGATTTTGATATTTCGTTTTATGAACGCATCAAACAAAAGTGAATATATGTTTCCCATGTATAAACGATACAGAATCACTGAATGACACTGGGAAAACTACGTTATATAAAGCGATTGTTAATCAAAATAAATTATTATTTGCTTTTGATTATCATGAAGTACGTAGAGCTCATTTATTCAGAACATTAGATAAATCATATGGGAAGAAAACTCAGAGCATATGTCATTAAAAAGATATGATATCACTCCAGAAATTATTTATAGATTTAACTTCACGCGTGTTCGCGAGGCATTCGCGCCTGTCAATAGTATCGACTGTTTAGACCGAGACCTAAATTGTCTGTCCAACTCGCGTCACTGCTTCACATCAGACGTATGATCTATAGAATCCTAGCAACATAACGGGACAGACACAAACTCTCGATGCACGTCAGTGAACGATACATCGCACTGGTTTTGAAACACTGCACAAAAAGATAAAATGGCTATGCTACGTCAACATGTGTTTACATTCCATTTCATCGTGATGTGCACAAACTAATGAAAATGCGAATTTTATTATTGTATGTCTCCGCTCCTGCTGTTAAAATGATTGATCCTAGTTTGAGAAATGTTATCATCAAATGCAAAATGGTATTTTACGTAAAAATTAACATTTCTTTTCCTGTTGACGACATTTTATAATTCAATGTATAAAGGATATTATAGAAAATGTTGAATTTGTATTATTTTACGTAGAAATATGTAAAGTGTGTATGATGTGTGAAAGTTATCTCCCTTGATTTCCTATATTTTTGTGTTAATTATTTTATGTTATTTTCATTTCTATTTCTAAAAATATTAATTGTAAATTAATGAATTTACTCTCCTCTTGCCACTATGTAGAGAAAATTTATATAGAGTTTGCCTATTATTTAATCCACAATGACATTAACATCTTTTTTCAATAAAATATGTTAAAATAAAAATCCTTATGTTAGAGGTTGTAATGTGCTGTATAGATTTGTTATGAACTTTAAAAACCTGATCAGTAACAAAAAAATTCTAGTTTGCCTGTTGCTTCCGTTGTTGTATATTTGGATTGACCAAGGTTTACATGAAAGGTGTCGTCAAGGAAGCAGAGACGCGTACTCTTCAAGTACATCTGGTCTTCGCTGTTTCTTTTAAATGTCAGCACCTTCTCAATATATTTACACTAAACTGACGGATCTCATTCTATCAAAAGATCTATTTCATTTCAAACGTAATCAAAGCAAATTCTGTTTTTAATAGTTGCCTTTGTTTCATCAATTTTGAACAAAAATTACAGTTTTCTTTGCATATCAACTTAAAACATTTTATATAAAATTTTTCCACCAGGTGCAGTTTGATCAGTACCACACGTAAACAAAACCGATCTCAATTTCGTATTAAAAACATAAATCTGGTATATTTATATTCCAATTCTCAGAACCTTCAGAATTACTTATCTTTATAATACTTACACCGTAACATTCAGTCAACAGAATAGATATTGAATCGAGAAATCGTATAAGACCCTATCACACCTACATCCTCTCACACCTACAACCGCTCAAACCTACACCCTACACCCTATCAAACCCATACCCCATCACACATACACCTCCTCACACCTACACCCCATCACACCTACACCCCCTTAGACCTACTCCGTCTCACCCCTACACCAAATCACACCTACACCCCCTCACACATACACCCCTTCAAACCTACACCCTCTCCCAACTATACCCCATCACACATACACCTCCTCGCATCTACACTCCATCACACCTACACCCATTTACACCTACACCCCCTCACACATACACCATTTCAAACCTACACCCTCTCCCAACTATACCCCCTCAAACATACACTCCGTCACACCTACATCCCCTCACACCTACACCCCTTCACACCCTACATCCCATAACACCTTCACCCCTCAAACCTACAACCCATCACACCTACATCCCCTGACACCTACACCCCCTCACACCTACACCCCATCACACCTACACCCACTCACACCTACACCCCCTCACACCTACATCCGCTCACACCTACACCATCTCACACTTAAACTAACTCAGACCTACACCCCCTCAAAACTACACCCCCTCACACCTAAACATTCTCACACCTACACCTTCTCGCAAACTACACCCCCTCACAACTACACCCTCTCACACCTACACCCCTCACACCTACATCCACTCACACCTACTCCCCCTCACACCTACACTCCCTCACACCAAACACCCCCTCGCACCTACACCATCTCACACATACACCTCATTATAAATACACCCCATAACACCTACACCACATAACACCTACACCGCATCACATTAAGACCCCCTCACATTTACAACCCATCACACCTACACCCCCTCACACCTACATCCTCTCACACCTACACCCCCTCACACCTACACCCTCTCACACCGACACCCCCTCATACTTACAACCCATCACACCTACACTCCCTCACACCTACATCATATCATACCTACACCTCGCAAACTACACCCCCTCACAACTACACCCTCTCACACCTACACCCCCTCACACCTACACCCACTCACACCAACTTCCCCTCACACCTACACCCCGTCACACCAACACCCCCTCGCACCTACACCATCTCACACCTACACCTCATTATAAATACACCCCATAACACCTACACCACATAACACCTACACCGCATCACATTAAGACCCCCTCACATCTACAACCCATCACACCTTCACCCCCTCAAACCTACATCCTCTCACACCTACACCCCTTCACACCTACACCCTCTCACACCGACACCCCCTCATACTTACAACCCATCACACCTACACTCCCTCACACCTACATCATATCACACCTACACCCTCTCACACCTACATCCCCTCACATCTACACCCCTTACACCTACAACCCATCACACCTACACTCCCTCACACCTACACCGCCTCAAACCTACACCCTATCAAACCTATACCCCATCACACATACACCTCCTCACATCTACACTCCATCACACCTACACCCCTTTACACCTACACCACCTCACACCTACACCAAATCACACCTACACCCCCTCACACATACACCATTTCAAACCTACACCCTCTCCCAACTATACCCCATCACACATACACCTCCTCGCATCTACACTCCATCACACCTACACCCCTTTACACCTATACCCCCTCACACATACACCATTTCAAACCTACACCCTCTCCCAACTATACCCCCTCAAACATACACTCCGTCACACCTACATCCCCTCACACCTACACCCCTTCACACCCTACATCCCATAACACCTTAACCCTCAAACCTACAACCCATCACACCTACATCACCTGACACCTACACCCCCTCACACCTACACCCCATCACACCTACACCCACTCACACCTACACCCCCTCACACCTACATCCACTCACACCTACACCATCTCACACTTAAACTAACTCAGACCTACACCCCCTCAAAACTACACCCCCTCACACCTAAACATTCTCACACCTACACCTTCTCGCAAACTACACCCCCTCACAACTACACCCTCTCACACCTACACCCCCTCACACCTACACCCACTCACACCTACATCCCCTCATACCTACATCATCTCACACCTACATCCACTCACACCTACTCCCCCTCACACCTACACCCCCTCACACCAAACACCCCCTCGCACCTACACCATCTCACACATACACCTCATTATAAATATACCCCATAACACCTACACCACATAACACCTACACCGCATCACATTAAGACCCCCTCACATCTACACCCCTTACACCTACAACCCATAACACCTTCACCACTCAAACCTACAACCCATCACACCTACATCCCCTGACACCAACATCCTCTCACACCTACACCCCTTCACACCTACACCCTCTCACACCGACACCCCCTCATACTTACAACCCATCACATCTACACCCCTTACACCTACAACACATCACACCTACATCCACTCACACCTACACCCCCTCACACCTACAACCCATCACACCTACACCTCATTACACCTACACCCCCTCACACCTACACCCCATCACAGTTACACCCCCTCACACCTACACCGCCTCAAACCTACACCCTATCAAACCTATACCCCATCACACATACACCTCCTCACATCTACACTCCATCACACCTACACCCCTTTACACCTACACCCCCTCACACCTACACCAAATCACACCTACACCCCCTCACACATACACCATTTCAAACCTACACCCTATCCCAACTATACCCCCTCAAACATACACTCCGTCACACCTACATCTCCTCACACTTACACCCGTTAACACCCTACATCCCATAACACCTTTACCCCTCTAACCTACAACCCATCACACCTACATCCCCTCACACCTACATCCGCTCACACCTACACCATCTCACACTTAAACTAACTCAGACCTACACCCCCTCAAAACTACACCCCCTCACAACTACACCCTCTCACACCTACACCCCCTCACACCTACACCCACTCACACCTACATCCCCTCATACCTACATCATCTCACACCTACATCCACTCACACCTACTCCCCCTCACACC